TGTGTCTGTGTCTTTTCTGTTTGTATCAGTTTCGTCTATCTGCATATTTGAGGCATCATTTTTTTCTAAATTAAGGTTTTGTGGCTCTGAGGTACCCGAGCTGTTATTGAGTAGTACAATGCTATTTATAGTATTTGTTGTGTTGTTGTCGTCTGTGCTGATCTGCATTTCGTTGTTTTTGTCGGTTGAGTTTGTTGTTGTGCCTTTTTGTGTAACCAATGATGTCATCTTGAAATTCTTCAGGGGTGAGCTGGATTGCCCACTTTTTGTGCCAACAAGAGCAGTGAGGGCAGCAGTACGTCTTCTTTTGTTGTTGCTAGTAGGAAGTCTAGTTGTTTGTGCCTTCGTTGTAGTTTTTTTAACTGCTGTTGTGTTATGCATGGTTGTGTTTATTAGGACTTTCTTGAGAGGGTTATGTAGGGAAACTTTTTCTTGTAAGTTGGAAAAGCTTTCCTTTGTGTTGTCGTTCTGTTTTGCTATCTTTTTCTTCTTTATTTTGTATTATTTACTTATGTTATTTTTGTTTATCTTCTTGTTGTGCACGAATGCACGCTTGTTCAAGGCTTTTTTATAATTATTTAGTACAGGTGTCAGTCTTTAGCTTGTCTACTTTTTTTTATTTACTATATTTTTGTGATGTACGGGAGAGAGTTTTTTATTATTTTTTCGACTTAAAATAATATTATTATTATTATAATTAAAATTAAATAATTTTTAAAAAATTTATACTAGACCAGGAGATAGAAGTTCATGAATATTAGCATAATTTGAAATAAATATTAAAATATTTATAATTATTTCAAATAAAATTTTGTTATTACTAATTTTTCCTTTAAGTTGATGAGTAATTGGTAAAATATCATTTTCCAAAAAATGTTTACAAATTGATTTCTATTTCCATTCTGAAACATCATATATTAATAAAAAAGCTTCTAAACAAATATGATTTTCATCAAATTAATATTTATTTGTTAAATATTTTTTGTTAATATTATTTTTTATAGTTTTTTTTCTAACTAATGCATTAAGAATACCTAATAAAAACATATTTTGACATCATTTGAATATTTTTCTATTTTTTTATTGCAATTTCACAATTAATAATATTTTTTGTATATTGCAAAGTTGAACAACATTCAAATAAGTCAAATTTATTACAAAATGCATTAATATCTTGATCAGTAAGTGCTTTTTATTTCTTATCAACTTCACTAATAAAAGACTCAGATTTTTGATTAAATATTTTATAAAAATTATTAATTTCAATTTGAGAAAAAATATTATTACCAATATTATAAAATGGTTCACCACTAATAAAATTATTAATTTCATTATTATTCTGTTCTGAAAATTCAGAATTATTTGTTTCTTTAATGAAAGTAAATTGATAAATATTTTGTAATAATAAAATATTAGTATTTAAAGAAGCTAATTCAGGATGAGTTTCACTAAAAATACTATTAAATAGAGTATATGACATATTAAAATATAATATTTTATAAATTTTAAATTTAATTATTAAAAAATTATTTATAAAAAGATTTTAAAAATTAATTAATTAAAAAATTTTATACAATAAAAATAACAACTATTTAAATAATTAATTTATAATATTTATTAAAATTATAATTTATAATCTAATTACAAATACAGTATTTATTTTAATCTAAAAATATATAAAAAACAAAGAATATTTAATAAGAAATACAAAAAAATCTAAAATTAATATTTATTCGATTAAAAAATTTTTAATGCAAATATGCATAAGTAAATTACACATGCTTTTCATATACTAGTAAAATTTAAAAAATTCAACATGCTGAATGACACAATTTGAATGCTACTCAAACTGTCATTTGAAATGACATTCAACACTATCAAATAACTTTGTGAAAACACATGTCTGTGAAATTATGTAATAGTGTTAAATAATAGTTCAAATAGTAATTTAAGTGACATTCAAATTGTGTTATTTCAAGAATCCAGAAAGAAACACTAAAAAGTTATCAGAAGAACCTTCAAATAATGCTAGAATTATCAGAAATCCAAAAAGAAACTAAAGAAACTTCAAAAGTCATCAAAAAATGCTAAAAATACCAAGAATCCAGAAAAAACTACTAAAAAGTCATTAGAAGAATGCCAAAAGCCACCAAAAATACCAGAAGTGCCAAGAATCCAGAAAAAATCTCCAAAAGTCATCAGAAAAACTCCAAAAGTCACCCCAAAATGCTGGAAGCACTAAAAAATTTCAAAAGTTATCAGAAGCACCTTTTAAAAAACTCTAAAAAATGCTAAAAATATCAAAAATCCAAAAAGAAATACCAAAAAAGTCATCAGAAGAACACCAAAAGCCACCAAAAAATGCCAGAAATATCAAGAATCCAGAAAGAACCTCCAAAAGTCATTAGAAGAACTCTAAAAGCCATCCAAAAATGCCAAAAGTACCAAGAAACTCTAAAAGTCATCAGAAGCACCTTTAAAAAAAACTTCAAAAATATCAAAAGTACCAAAAATTCAGAAAGAACCACCAAAAGATCATCAGAAAAATGCCAAAAGCTACCAAAAAATACTAGAAATGCCAAGAATCCAGAAAAAACCTTTAAAAATCATTAGAAGAACCTTTAAAAAAACTCCAAAAAACACCAGAAGTACCAAGAATCCAAAAAGAACCTCTAAAAGTCATCAGAAGAACCTTTAAAAAGCTCTAAAAAACATCGAAAGTACCAAGAATCCAGAAAAAAACACCAAAAAAGTCATCAGAAGAATGCCAAAAAGCTACCAAAAAACACTAGAAATATCAAAAATCCAGACATAATCTCCAAAAGTCATCAGAAGAACTCCAAAAGCTGCTCAAAAATGCTAAAAGTACCAAGAAACTCCAAAAGTCATCAGAAGCACCTTCAAAAAAACTTCAAAAAATGCCAAAAGTACTAAGAATCCAGAAAGAATCACTAAAAAAGTATTAGAAGAACACTAAAAGCTACTAAAAAATGTCAAAAGTACAAGAATTCAGAAAGAACCTTCAAAAGTCGTTAGAAGAACTCCAAAAGCCACCCAAAAATATCAAAAGTACCAAGAAACTCTAAAAGTCATCAGAAGCACCTTCAAAAAAACTCTAAAAAACACTGAAAGTACCAAGAATCCAAAAAGAAACACCAAAAAAGTTGTTAGAAGAACTCTAAAGCCACCCAAAAATGCTAAAAGTACTAAGAATCTAGAAAGAAACATCAAAAAGTACCTCTAAATAATGCCAAAAATACTAAGAATTCAGAAAAAACCTCCAAAAAGTCATCAGAAGAACCTTTAAAAACCATCGAAAGTACCAAGTATCCTGAATAAATACCAAAAAGTTATTAGAAGAACCTTCAAAAACACTGAAAGTGCCAAAAATCCAGAAAAAAACATCAAAAGGTAATCAGAAAGACTTTCAAAAGCCACTAAAAAATACTGGATATACCAAAAATCCGAAAAGAAACTCCAAAAGTTATCAGAAGAACCTTTAAAAAAACTCTAAAAAATGTTAGAAGTACCAAGAATCTAGAAAGAAACTCCAAAAGTCATCAGAAGCACCTTCAAAAAAACTCTAAAAAATGCTGAAAGTAACAAGAATTCAGAAAGAAATACCAAAAAAGTTATTAGAAAAACTCCAAAAGCTGCCAAAAAACACTAGAAGTACTAAGAATTCAGAAAGAACTACCAAAAGTTACTAAAAAAATGTCAGAAATACCAATAATCCAGAAAGAAATACCAAAAGGTCATTAGATGAACCTCCAAAAGCCAAAAAATGCCAGAAGTACCAAGAATCCAGAAAGAATCTCCAAAAGTCGTCAGAAGAATCTTCAAAAACTTAAAAAACATTAGAAGTACCAATAATCCAGAAAGAAACACCAAAAAGTCAGCAAATGAATCTCCAAAAGCTGCCAAATAATGTCAAAAGTAATAAGAATCCAGAAAGAACCTTCAAAAAGTCATCAGAAGAATCTCTAAAAGCCATCAAAAAATGCCAGAAGTAACCAAAAAATCTTTAAAAATCATCAGAAGAATATTCCAAAAGGAACTAGAGAACTTAAGAATTCAGAAAGAATCATTATGAAACAATGAAACAAATCTCATTAATTAAATGAATAAAACTACGTTAAAGAAGAACCTCTATTAAAAATAAAAAACATTATCACAAAAGTGACAACCTAAAAAAAAAGTCAAAGAAAACACGTTAACCAACAAAAAAACCACTATTGAAAGTGAAAGATGTCAACATAAAGACATAAAGTGATGATCTAAAAAAATTAAAATTAATTAACATTTTAGTTCGTGTGTAGAAATTCAAATTACAGTCATAATGAAACAAGTTAATAACCAGATTATGCTATTTTTAGACTAGTTTTATCTTGTGTAACAAAGTTTTGTTTATCTAATTATTTCAAAATTAATGATTTATCAAATTCGGCAGTTTCTACTTTTGACCACCCATATTCTCTTAGACAATTTTATAACAATTAGGTTTTAAATAATAAAATATTGGTTTGCTGATAGGTATTTTGAACAATTAAACTTTTTGTTTTAATAATTATACTTTCATTTAATCAACTATTATCCATTTTAATATGTATATTCTCTTTGACAAGTTTATAATAATTGGTTTTTAAATCTATAAATTATTAGTATGCCAATAGTTATTTAAAAAATTAAACTTTTTGTTTTGATAATTATACTTTAATTAATTATTATTATCTGTTTTGATAAGTGTGTTTTCTTTGGCAAATTTATAGAAATCAGTTTTTAAATAATAAAATATCAGTATGCTAATAGGTATTTTGTTTTATTTAATATAATTAAAAATTAATCTATACAGTTATTAAACAATTATCAATATTCTTTTTTCTTTATATAACAATAAAATGAAATTTATTATTAAGATAATTTTGTGTATTGTATATAATTAGATAAAAAATAAAGCTATCAGTATTCTGCTATATTGTCAAGCTTTTTTTTAATATAAACAAATCAAACTTGTATAATATGTACTTTAAATATTTAATATTATGCAAATTTAATTATATTCAATTTTAATTCAGATAACAATTATCTAAAAATAAGATCTGACTAAAATCTATAAATAAGTTACACTTTTTTTTATATTTACAATAACTAATTTTTGTAATATATTTATTTTTTAAGTTAATAATATATCATACTTTTATTTGAGTTATGTTAGTTAATATACTTTTTGCTTTATTTATATTTTATTTGAAATAACTATTATTATTATTTAATAGTTAAATATATAATTAAACTAAGGTAAATTATGCCTAAACTCTTTCCCAAAAATCACAAAAAATATAAGGAAAATAAACAAAAGTAAAACTGAGCAAATTTAAATAAATAAATTACTAGAACAACAAAGGAAATAACAAAACCAGACTGCAGCACCACTAGACAGACAAGATAAAGCGCAAAAGGAATACAACAACAACTAAAAACACAACAGCCGAGCAACAGGCCCTTGGGCCAATATACAATTTACGTTCGAGGCAGCAAAGCAAATTCAAATAGAAAGCTATAATACTAGAAATAAGGCCAGTAGCAATAACAGAAAAACAAATCCAAAAGAAAACAAAACAGAAATAGATAGTATGGCTTCAAAGGCAAAAAAACTTCGTACCAACTCTGCTCTACCATACAAAAGGCCAAAAAGTGGCGAAACTGGAATACCCCTGATAAAATCAAAAATGACATCATCGCCAGAGCACAACAACAAAACAAAACCGGATCAAACAGGTTCCAACAATGAGATGCCAGAAATAGAAATGGACAACAACAACTTATCCAAAACAGGCAACAACTTGCAACAGAACATGACAACACAACAAACCAGTAGCATGAACGTAGCATCCAATCAAAATAGCATAGTGAACTTACAAGAACAGACACAAGACAACAACAACAGAGTACAACTAACAGAAAACCAAAACATAGCACCATCAGCAAACAGTAACAATATGGAAATAGAAATCAGCAGTAATACAACAGTAGAGCAACCAGTAGCACAAGTGACTTATAGCCAAATAGCACAAAAAAACTTAACACAGCCTAACAACAAAAAAAGCACAAAACAGATCGATTATACAGAAGAATGGACACAAGAAATTAATAGAAAATTAGAAAAAGAAGTAGATCAAGTCTTCAACAAAGCTCTATGGAACTATGACAAAATAGTAACTGCACTTCAAAGCAAAGAAGGAATCCAAGAATTTGTTCAATATAAAATGCATA